CTGATGTTCCATGCCCATTCTCCTGGGTCCACTTCCAATTCTTCAAGTGGTACAGATGGATTGAATATTGTGTATTCATCTGTCTCTACCACCCTTACCTTCCGCAAGTACTGTTTGAGAATGGCGATCGGTGCTTTGGATGTCCTATCCAGTTGAGAAGTAGTGTTGGGAGGATGGAGTATGGCGTACTTATCTGCATGCAGCCAATCTGGCCTAGAAACCTCTTGGCTCCAGACCCTGAAGACTTCTTTTGGTTCCTTGTCGTCTCACCATGTGGCCCAGTCTCCCTGGCCCCACTGTGTACCGTTCTGTAGCAGTTGCACCCATGTTTGCGGTATGGCTCCCAATATTACCTCAAGGTTGTCTGATAATCTGTGGCATCCCTTTAAGCTTACCCTAAGTTCTCTGACTGTTTTCTACCTATTTTCTCTCTCTTCCCAGAGGTGCTTCACCTGCCAAACCCCATGCTCCAGCCACTTTCCCCACTTCGCTTTCCAACCTTGCCCCTGAGTCTAGAATTATTCCGCTATCCTACCCCTGTCCCAGAGGCACAGACACAGCACGACCCACATAATTTTAGCACACATACTCGGAATTCAACCCGAATTCGAACAGGCCAGCGCACGGAATACACACATCATCAGCAGGACACACAGAGACTCAGAAAACATGGCATGAAAACAGACTCGGATTCAAAAATCTCAGCTTAGCTCCAGATAGTACATCCATTACCTGTTGAAAATTGATATACCTAAGTTCGAATCCAGAGAGTGTCAAATGAACAGAACAAAATCATTCTGAATTACCTGGGGTCGGTCTGCAATGAATTGCAGTTGCTTACGCGGGCTGTGCACTAAGTTTGTCTGCTGTTCCCCTGCTCTGAGCCCTGCGGGACTTGATCCCGTGACCTACAGTTTGTTGTGTTATTCACTAGCTTTGAGTCCTACTGGTCTTGACCCGTGAAGCTGTCGCTAGTAGTCTCTATTTGGCAGTCTTAGGCCCTTCAGCCTTGCTGTTTTGTCCTTTACAGGTCTTCTGGAAACTGGTAGGCCCGTAGGTCTCTCCCTTGTGTGTGTCCTAGTCTTGGGTCCTCTTGCTCTAGGTTCCCATCTAGATGCAGATAGGCAGATGTTTACTGTTTTTTTGGCTGTAGATGTGTGCTGTTTGGACGGTCAGATAGGTTTGTAGGTGACGGCTGTGTTGTAGGTCTAGGGAAGCCTGGTAGAAGTAGGCAGAGGCCGACAAGTTTGGGGGGTTCTTTTCTCATTTTTTCGGGAAGTGGCGACGGGAGTACGTGAGCGGCACTATTTCCAGCGTTCAGTCTTCTTCCTCTCCGAAGGGGAACTTGGGCAGCCATAGCTGGGGCGCCCTGCTGCTTGAGGAGGCAGCACCTGTAGGAGGTCTTCCAGGTGCTGATGCCACTGCCATCATGTTGCTGTTTGTGGGGTTGAAGAACAGACGCTTTCTTCCTTGAGCGGCTTGCTTGTTGCTAGTTGCTGCCATACCCGGGCAGCCATCATCTTCTTCATCGAGGCTCACCTTCTTCTTCACGGTCGTTTGCGGCGCTGCAACTTGATATCTGGCTCATGCCAGATCCGCCCCTGTACTCACAGGCTCGGGGCATGATGAGATGCTGTTTTCAACAGTGGGCTATCACTGGAGGCTGGGGGCCGTAGGGAGAAGAGGAAGTGAAGCTTCGTTGAAGTGTATTGTCGGGGGTTGATTGGGGGTGGAACATATTTTGTGGTTGAGATTCTTGGATTTGTTCGGTTGACGGAGGAGAGCAGGGGGTGTAATAAAGAATTGATTGAAACATTTTTCTCTCAATGTTTATATCTGGTTTTGGCTTACGCTGTTCAATCTCTCTCCATGGCTATGGTGTGAATCTGCTCTCTCCAGTCTGCCTGTCATTGCAGAAAGATGTGTTATGGGAACATTTGAATGCGGTTTGGAGTTGTGAATCAATCGAACGCATAACAGGTCAGTTCAATCATCAATGATGAGATCTCAAAGCCGTCGCCCTTTTACAAAAAGAGAAAAGAAGAGAAGGGAGGGTTCCAAGGAAAAAAAGGAGGGGGGGGGGGGGGGATCAAAAGAGGGGAAGATCAACCAGCGCCACAAAACCAACCCCTCACCCCCAGCACCCCTAATTCTCGAATACCTCCACCTCCACGAGAGACCAGATCTCTGCACCAAAAGATAGGACCGAGTAAACTCACGTCAAAGTCAAATCCATTACCCCCCCCTACAGGCAAGAAAACCCAACACTTACAGCATCGCATCGTACCATCCCCTCAATACCATTTAACCCACCTGCCATCCTATCCCTCATCACTCTTATAAACTCACTAAAACTATCCCCTCCCCATTAAAAGTATAATTACATCGGTTATCAAGGGTACACTCTGCACAGCCCCAACAGCCCCCAGACTAAGGACACACCCTAAGCTACAGCACGGGGCAACCTAAACACACACGCAAGGGTTCAGGGTTTTAGCAGCAGTCACTAAAAAGGGTTAAACCTTCCGTTCTAGTGGATGAAGCAAATCTGACAGTCAAGAAACTGGGAGGACAGAAGCAAATCTGTCCTCGAACTCACGACGGACAAGCACTGTGACAACAAGATAGGTAGAATAGTATCTAATTTCAGTAGCAGTTAGTACAGGCCAACTTAGGCAGGGGTGAGGGAGGGTACATCCTTCCCTCGGGAAGTAATCAATGCCAACCTTCGGACCTTCCCACCGTAAGGGGTAGGAGCATGTGTGAGTAATCTTTGTAATATCTTCCGACTCCTTGGTGGAAAAGGAACCGGACTGACGCTCCCCAGAATGGAAAAGGAGCGATAACCATAAGTTAAAAAAAAAAAAAAAAAAAAAAAAAAAAAAAAAAAAGAGAGCATTTTCTCAGAAAAAAAGTGCAAATTTCTCAGACTGCAATTCTGCGGTCATGGCAGTACGCTTGATAGTAGATACCCTGTTTGAAGGAAAGGTTTACATGAGTGCCAAGGGTATCATGCCACCCACATAGCCGCTGGCTAGATCAGTTGTAGGTCCGTGAATTTTTAGTTAAAAAGGCTGTCCGGTTTAAAGCCACCACTCCATCTGGACCTATTTCGACAAACGAAAAGTTGCGTTTCCCCGAGCCTGAGATCTGCAGTGCTGTCCTGAGGAAAAATGATTGTGGTAGCCAGCCTGGGCACTGTAGACTTTGGCCCGGTACTTGTTCTACAAGCAAAATGAGCAGTGCAGGGGCCGTTGGAGTGGCGGTCTAATGACAACTGCTGGCCTGCTTTTTTTTTTCAGTTCACCCCCCCCGCCCGCCCTTTTTTTGCTGTATTCTCTGCGTCATGACTTACGGACGTGACTGTCCAACTCTTGACCTGTCTGTCTGCTTGTCGCCTCGCTCATGTTTGTAGGAATGAGTATTCTCTCCATCGGACTCAGTGTTTGTTCGCACTCTGGCTGTCATCTCCTTGTGTGTATGACCAAGACTATTCTCTGTGCATCTGTGGATGCCACTCTCTCTCTATCTGACTTTGGCTGGCAGGTTATCTACCGTTTTCGGGTGAATTCATGCCTATTGCATGCCGTGTCCAAGTGGATCAATCTGGAAAAGTGGGGTACACCATCAGCAGGAGAGGTGACTCCACTCTGCAAATAGAATTGGGAATTGTGAATTTTCAGGTGAAAGGCGGGGCATGGATAGGGTATTTAGGGTTATAGAAATCTTAGCACCCCTCAAGCATGGACTGTGAAGGTTTCTTAAGGATTGTTAAGGATTGTTAAGGATTGCTAAGGATTGTTAAGGTTTGTTAAGGTTTGTTAAGGATTGTTACGGGTTATTAACCTGAGCAGGAGGCAGCAAAGGTAGTAGAGAACATCTGCTCAGTAGACAGATCCATGGAGAGGATCTATTGAGAGTATGGTCAGTCTTTCAGAAGTGAGTGTAAAGGCTTTCAATAGGTAAGGTGCGTCAGTATCCTCAAATTGATTTGCCAGATTGGCATCGGAGCATGTTGGTGCTCCGCTGAGGTGTGTTCCGCTCAGTCACGTAACAGGAATCTGGGGGAGTGCTCATCATCATACCCGAGGGGCGCTCATCATGACCTTATTGCTTGATGCTGGGGGGAGAGGTGGGGGTTAAATAAGGGAGGTGGTGGAGAGGGTTTCAAGCTTAGCTTGTGCTCTCATCTGATTCGTTTGTCAGATTGGTTAGGACGAGACCGGTTGTGAAAGTCAGGGGAGGAGAGAGAGGGGAGGAGGGGGCTGCAAAAGATAGACCCTGTGTTGGCCCGCTTGGTAGCAGCACTGGGGGATAGGAAGTCTTCCCATAGCCTGACAAGAGGCTGGCATCTTGCAGTTGATTTGTTACTTCGCGTTGTTCCCTTAGCATTCATGTGTATACTAGCATGTGAGACATTGCCTGGAGTGTGGATGGCATGAACTTGAGCAGGTTATCATTTGCAGAACATCATGGACAGGGAAGTAAGAGTGTCGCCGAAGACATAATCGTATCGTCCTTGCTGTACAAACGACAGGACTTCAGAGCTCTTATGGATGATGCGAGTGAAGGAGGGAGTTGGGGGGGGGGGGGTGTCTTCTTGCGGATTCTAGTGCAGAAACCTTTCAGGTCATGGTTGACTCGTAATATGCCAATGAGATGATGAACAGAGCAGTTTCTACAGAGTAGCCGAAAGAGGCCCTGCACGACAGCGAAAGCTGAAGTGCTGATTTGGTTGTGCTTTGGCTTGCTGATCTTTCGCATCAAAGTGGTTTGGGGGTGAGATTGACGATCAAACCACAAGTGTAGTTTGTGGGGTATGATTTCCTTGGGAGTAACTTCAAGTGCGCTTTCTAGTCCGATTCGACGGTATGGCATCCAATCCATCAAAGCTCATAGCCTTTGTCATCAAGGAACCTTGCTTGCATTCTCAAGGGTACCTCATCTATGTGTGTGTGCTTCTGGCTCTAGGATGATGTGTTCTTGTGAGAGGTTATCGATGTAAATATAACCCGTTTGTTGGAGAGGAGCGGACGTACTATCGATCCTTTTCTTCTTTATGCTGTCACCCTCTCCCTGTCGCTGGGTTTTCTCGACATCCCCTCCCCTGAGTACGCTTGCTCTTCCCATCCTACCTGCAAGATGACCGGTTATCTTAAGGGCATCCAGACGCGCATTTCGGAAAGAGAACGACCATGGTCGGGATCAGTGCATGCTTGTGGAGTATCTCATACCCTGTCCCCTTCGTCAGCTTCAGTGCATGGTCGTGGAGTATCTCATACTCTGCCCCCTTCGTCAGCTTCTGGGCTCACATCCTCCAAGCTGTACTCACATGGGGTGCTTCCCTCTCAAACTGTGCGCCTACTGCAAACCGGACTGCCGCCTTCACATGCACACTCTGCTCCTTCTTCCTACTCCACCGCAGTTGCCCTCCAAGGGACGCGTTCAAGTAAGGGCTCAGATCCCTCTACGCTGCATCCCTGGACAGAGTCAGGGTTGCATGCAGTTGATAAGTCGCCAAGCCGAGGGCAAACTTCTGCATCTCTGCCGTCATCCTCCTCCTCTGGAGCCTCTCAGCTGCAGTCATCGTCATCCGTATATCCTGTTCCATGCAATCGTGCGTGCATGCAGAGTGCTACTATACCATGCATGCAATCGGCGTTACAGTGCATGCAAACCAAGCAATCACCTCCCACTGACGGCATGTTAGCACTGCCAGGCTCTGAGAGTTCCCCCGTGTCTACCCGTCGCCAACCTCCACTTGCAACCCCTTTTTCTGCTGGGGATGCATTGGGGGTAACCAGAGGAGACAATTCCACGCGTGACTCTCATGGTGATGAGGCTGTGGACAATGTGGACAATGACGTGATCCGCTCATGTAAAAGCTCATATCTTCGCATGACAGACCGTCAGCGCCGAGGCGCTCCCTGGTCCCACTCGGACACAATGGCCCTTGTCAGAGCCAAGCGAGAGGAGGTTGCACTCTTCAACAGCAGCAGTTCAAGACAGCGATGCAAGACGAGGCCAGAGAGGTGGGCAGATGTCATGAAGGCATTACATGAATCGGGTGTTCGTCGTTCCTACAAGGAGTGCAAGAAACGGTGGGACAATCTGTTGCAGATGGTCAGAAAGATTGCTGACTGGAATCAGCAATGCCTTGCCCAAAAGAACTACTGGTTGATGGACCGCGTGGAGCGTCGGGCTAAAGGCATGGTTTTCAACGTTGAGAGAGAGGTCTTCGATAGCATGATCGAGTGGGTCAGCCGCAAGCGGCCCAGCGGCGCCAAAGGTGCCGATTCGCCAGTGGACGCTGGCGGTGAGGATCCTGCTGCTGCTGTAGACAGGGAAGAGGCATGCAATCCTGATGCTGCTCCTCAGAGCAGAGTTGATGACATACCCAACACAGAAAAAGCTCCCCAAGAAGCGTCCCATCAGCCTATCCTCCCTCCATTATTGGGCCTTGATGAAAAGAAGAACACTGATATTAAGCATGCTATCCAAGAGCTGACTTCGGCAATAAGAGAGTCCAGCAAGCAGCTGTGTTCGACTCTGCATGAGGTTTGGCAAAGTCATCAAGCCGTCTTGGACAAACATACTCGATCGCTGGAGCGGATAACAGAGGTTATAGTTGTGGGAAACCAGAGGTTTGAACACGCCATGATGCACGTGTCAGAATCCATTCACGGGCTGCGGGAGCAGGTGAATTCACGTCCGTAAGCTGGACCAGCAATACACTGCGAAAGTCCGGAACATGCCGCTTAGTGTATAATTAATTTACCTAGTTTGAAAACAACTGACGTGTAATTTTACTTGTTGCTAAAAGCAGCAGTTTTCTTGCAAAGTGCCCTTTTGCTTGTCGTTAAGCTGGTCTGGTGAAACAGTGAAACACTGCTAAAGTATCGAATATGCCACATACTGTATAGTTTACCTAGTTTGAAAAACAATGGCTGTGTAATTTATTTATTTCTTTTCTCTCTCAATCTTGTGTCCACCTCACACTAGCTACCCGCACCTCACAATGCAAAGGAGCCAAACTTGCCCGTGGAATAGGAACCGGACTGTTGCTCCCCAGAATGCAGTAGCAGATGCAGATCCCAGGGCTCGATCCCTAGACCTTCACCTCATCCGTGTACAGTATCGAGTCGACCCCTCTGTGTTTGAACCCGTGACCTGTGTTTTGGTAGTTGTCTGTAGTCTGTCATAGATCTGTGTAGCCGTAGGGATTCGATCTGTAGACCTGTCGGGTAGGGGTCATAGTTGGGCAGAGGCCGTAGCTGTAGCAATTTTGAAAGGTCAAGGTCGTAGCTGCTACAGTCCTGAAAGGTCAAGGTCGTATCTGCTACAGTCCTGAAAGGCGTCCACAGACTTCCGGAAGGTCCGGAAGTGGCCTTTCAAGTTTCTTCTCACGTTATTCACACCAGGCCAGAGGCAAGTGGGCAAGTGGTAAGTCCAACTTCGCTTAGTCAGTGGTACCCAGTCCCAGTCTCACTTTGCACAGTCAGCAAGTACCATGAGGAGTGTGTGCACCATGGGCCCGGTGGAAAGGGGCAGACCAGCGACCTACAGAAGTATAAATCAAGAGGCAGCATCCAGCCATTGATTGATTCCTGCATGAGCCATGCGGAAGCGCTGCCCTAGTGTCTTGTGCAAGGTGGTCTTCAGATGCCCGAGGACGAAGTGGGCCGAAGGAGGATAGAGTATCCATAGCTAGTAGGGGTTAGGCGGCCATAGCCGCTGTAGCTTAGAGGATATGTTCAGTGCGTGCGTATGTGAGTTGCAGAGTGTATGTGCATGGGGTATTCAGGGTGATCCAGAGTTGAGTATGTGCGAACAGTGGTGTTGGACACAGTGACGAGAGTTGGAATGTTCAGGCGCTGATGCGCCATAGCCTGTTGAAGCAAGTTTACATCTGAACTGTGTTCGCGGCTTGATTATCTCTGAGCTTTGTGTGGGCGCATAGCGCCAGTGTGGATTTCCATCTGTTTGCATGTTGCGTAGTGAAGACGAGAGCAAGTCTGATTGCATTGGTATCGGAGCTGGTTCCCATTATTCCATGCACCGTCGCTGTCTGGGCGCCATAGCTGTAGCTGCGCCAACGAAGGAGGAGGGTCCGCCATAGCTGCGCCGATTGAAGGAGGGTGCCGCGAACCTGCACAGAAGACAACGACGGAGAGAGAGAGAGAGAGAGAGAGAGAGAGAGAGAGAGAGAGAGAGAGAGAGAGAGAGAGAGAGAGAGAGAGAGAGAGAGAGAGAGAGAGAGAGAGAGAGAGAGAGAGAGAGAGAGGAGCGATACAAGATTGTTGTGTGGTCCTAGGAAGAAGGTGGCGGCCATAGCCGCCGAGCTCAGACACAGAGAAGACAAGTGAAGGAGGAGGGAGAGACAAAGAGGAAAGATGAAGTCATAGCTAAGGAAGAGGAAGGAGGGACGACGAAAGTGAAGGAAGCCATAGCCGGGGTGAATTGAGAAAGAAGGAGAAAGAAAGAAGGAGAAAGAAGGAAGGAGGAAGAAGGAGAACAAAGAAGGTTGGTGAGGAGAAAGGGGTCGGCAGCCATAGCCGAGTTGAGGGTTGACCGGGGGGTTGACCAACATTGACCAAGAATTTGACTGAGGAGTTGACCAGGGAGTTGACTGACATTGACTAAGGCGTTGACCGGCGAGTTGACCAAGTGTTGACCAGCGTTGACCGGAGCTGTTGACCACGAAATTGACCAAGTTGGAGTCGGTATATTCTCCTTCAGCCTATCCCCTCGCCCTATGGATGTGCACTCACCCTATCGTACTTGCTTGAGTCTGTTTGTCTCTTCTTTCTGCATTGAGTCTCTTTTGTCCAGGTGATAGGACTCCGTGTATGAGGTTGTAGAGCTGTGTTGACCAAACCCACACGGGCTGAGTAGGGCTTAATTCCATGTCTGACGACCGACACGTCCCGGAGAACAAACCCTCCCAAGGACCGGTACAGACCGGCGGGCTGAACAGTGTGGCATGGGTGGCCCAAAATCCGACCTGTGGGCTGCACAACCAGCTGTCTAAGTGTTGAGAGAGCTCTGCTGATCGCGTTGTCCTGACTGCGACGTTAAAGAATTCCTGAGGAGTTATGGGGGATCTCCTTAAATGCCTCCTGATCAGCAGTAGAGATCTGTAGTGACAGCCTTAGAAGTAGGTCAAGGCTAGTGACCCTAGTTGACAGGGTCTTGATCCGGAGAGAAAGCCAAGTGGGATTGACCGCAGGTGCAGGGCATCTGGGTCTAGTTTGTAAAGGACAGTGGTGGTGAAAGCTTCCGTCGGTCGTGGTAACTTGGCTGGATCGAAGGGTAAGGCTCTGTGGTCTTTAGAGAGTCAGTCAGCCAGTTAAGTCGGTCAGGGGGTGGAAGACTAAGTGGTGAGGAGTGGAACTATCAATCGGTTGTGCATCTTTCACCATGGTTGACACGCGTAGCGGTAAGAGTACCACCCCATACACCAAAGATTAATAAGAGAAGGCCGTCGATATCCTGAGAGAGAGGAAGGAGAAGATGGAGAAGAGGGAGCTTATTAAGCAGGCGAAGATGCTGGCCTTGATAGAGGAGCAAAAGGCCAAGCAGGAGCAAATGGAGGAGGAGCTTCAAAAGTGGAAAAAGGAACAGGAGGAGAAATTGGCAGCAATAAAGTCGGAGATGGAAGAAGAAGAAGTAGAGCAACCACTGGAAAGGAGAAGGACGAAAGAGAGAGGGGAGTCCAGTGGAGTGCGGGGGACAGGAGTCAAAATGGAGCCGGAAGCTAAGATGGAGAGGATGGTGAACGAGTGGGTAGCCAACTTAGCCCCGGGGGAGGAAGATGAAGCATTGTTGTTTGTCCCTCGGGCAGAGTGGGAACAATTTGCTAGGGAATTGGAGGGTGAAGAGAATCCCTAGAAGCGGCAGGCAATGGAGGAGAAGTTAGAATGGAAACTACGCCTTGCCCGCAAGAAGAAAAGAAGACCGGAGGCGGCCGAGAAAATGGAAGAGGATTTGAGGGCCGCCGAGGTAGAACATGGGAAGTTGGCAGTGGAAGTCGATCTCCAAAGGAAGGTGGAGGTCTTGGCATAGAGTGTGGAGGTAATGCTGAGGGCGCAGCAAGAACAATTGTGCTATTTAAAGGGCCACTATATTACGCTGCAATCTATGCGCACTGGTTTTAAAGATTTTGCAAAGGACATGATGATGCATGTAGGCACCGAATTGCGCACCATTATGGAGGGCACACAAAAGTTTTGCGTAGGCGTCATTGAAGGCGCCAAGATAGGGGGCCCTAAAGAAGAAGAGGCCCGACCACATAGAGAGCGCGTGAAGGTCAAGTTCCCTGATCACTATAGTGGGAAATCGGGAGAGGATTTTGATAACTGGGAGGCCAATGTGAACTCCTATGTGCATCTCCAAGATATTGCGCCCGAGGACCAGGTCCTTGTGGCCTTTCATGCCCTTAAAGATGAAGCAGCTAGTTTTGCCAGATCGTTAGCCCGCGCGGCCAAGTGCGAGAATGACATGGTCGCATACTCCATCCTTACCCCCCTTAGTGAATTCCTCAGCGCCCTACGAGAGCGTTTCGTAGATGTCACCAGGGGCCTTAGGGCCTCTGACAAGTTGCAAACTGTCCACATAAGACAGTGGAAGAGTGCTAGGGCGTTGAAGGCCGCCATGGATGAACTCGTCGCCGTTCCTGGCCACGGGGTCACTGAACCCCAATTGGTCCAATTGTTCTACTGCGCTATGCTCGAGAAGTTGCATGGGCATTTCTTTGATAAGAAGCAGCAACCCAACACGACGTACGATACGCTGAGTAGAGAGGTTGCCTCCGAGGCTCAGTCCATGCCAGTCACCACTTCTGGCATAAGGACCTAGCCAAAGGGAAAAATTGGAAAGGCCACACCATCACCAGTCAGGTCAAGGCTAAAGACAACCTTAATTCTTACATTAGATGAGGGTGGTCTAGAAGAGGTCCCATATAGTGAGATTGAGTGGGGCCTCGATGAGGAGGACAGCAACACTGGCTAGGGGAGGACCTATGCTGCTGTCGCGGGCGGAGGGAGGCCGCAAGGGAGAGGAAGAGGTCAGGGCCAAAGGGGCCAGACCTCTGGTGACAGAGTGCAAAGCGGCCAGGGGGTTGGCGGCAGGGGAAACCGCCAAGCGGGAGGAAGGGGTCAAGGTCCCCCGTCAAACTGTCGTTGCCCTAGTCGGTCACCTCCCAGGTCGGGTGGATGGCACCCTGGTCAGCATGAGGGCCGACCCTGGGAATCACTGGGCTTAGAACAAACAGTGTGGCAGAGGCGAATAGACCAGGACCAGTGCATCTATTGCGGTGATCCTGGGCACATCATAAAATACTGCCCTAAGTATAGAGAAGCCTGGTTTGCTGCAAGGCAGCAAAAGGCAACCGCCGGTAGGGGTTGCAGCTGCCCCTACCCCTAGACCATGTGGAGAAGAGTGCGCGCACCACAGAGAAACTCCCAAACCACATGTGTCTATGGCAGAAGTTGCTGGCCAGTGTCTAGACAGTTGTCCAGAGACTGCTTGTGTTAGAGTCTCTCTAGGCACTTCCCTCACAGGCGTGGCAAAAGAGTTGAAGGAGAGAATGTCTGCCTGGGCCAAAATGAAGAAAGATGTGAAGGGACAACTAGTTTTGGTAGATGTAGAAATTTTCAAAGGTAGAGTAGGGGCCCTTATAGACAGTGGGGCCACCCGCATCTATATTAGCAAGAAGGCGTTGCAGAAGTTGAAGCTTAA